AGAATAAAAACCTCCGAGAAAAAAACCCGCCGTGTTGGCGCGACTGGGAGGAAATGGACAAGGCGGTGCTGAGCGGTGCAGTGTCTTTTACAACATCTGTGAAAACCAATCTCCTGGACCACTTCCGATCTCCCTTTTCTCCCCAGCTTCCTCTACAAGGAGCAAAGCTGTGTCTGCACCTTCTTTTGAGGCTGTATCCAGAGACTGTACCCTCGCTCTATTCCAGACCAGCCTTTCGAGAGCGGAGCAACCTGGGTAGTCAGCGCCCGTCCTTCCACGTGGCCCGGGACCGAAAGGTGGGGCGTGGCACTGATAGCCCAGGCGACGCCAAGCTCCACCCAAGGCTCTAGCTGAAGACTTCAATTTTTGATTATTCGGTTTACAGTAGCTTCCAGTTACTTTGTGATTTAATCTCTAGTTATTATTTAGAAGTAAATTTATTTTCCAAAATAGGGAGATTTCTAGTTTTATTATTCATTTCTATCTTAATTGGTTGCATTGTGGTTGTAGGATATATATAATATGATATATATATTTCTTTTTAAAGTAAGTTTTTACCCACTGAGAGGCTTGAACTCACCACCCAGAGATCAAGAGTCACTTGCTCTACCAACTGAAGTAGCCAGGAGCCTGGGTCATAGAATATATTCTATAAGAATTAAGTAGCTCAATGTATGGTCGTTTTGTAAATGCATTTTGAATATTTGGGGGAAGTATTCTGTACTGGTTGTGTGCATTGTACTAAATTTTCTAATCACGTTAATCTATATTCTTTTTTTAATTCTTGTTATATTTTTGTATGTTTGAACTATTGGTTATTTTCGATTTTGTCATTTGTATATACTTTGAGGCTACATTAATAAATGCATAAAGCATAGAATTCTTGTATCTTCCTTGTGAATCAAACCTGAATTGAACACTTACGAAGTGTTCATCTTTATCACTAGTATTGCTTTTCATTTTAGACTACATGTGGCCTAACATTAATGTAATATCGGCTTGTTTTGATTTCGTGTGTACAAGAAACATCTTTTTCTAGTAGTTTCCTACTTCTATTATGCTTATGTGTTTTTTTTTTAATTTTTTTTTCAACGTTTATTTATTTTTGGGACAGAGAGACACAGAGCATGAACGGGCGAGGGGCAGAGAGAGAGGGAGACACAGAATCGGAAACAGGCTCCAGGCTCTGAGCCATCAGCCCAGAGCCCGACGCGGGGCTCGAACTCACGGACCGCGAGATCGTGACCTGGCTGAAGTCGGACGCTTAACCGACTGCGCCACCCAGGCGCCCCTATGCTTATGTTTTAATGTCTCTTTTAAACACCTACATTTCATGGGGTGCCTGGGTGGCTCAGTTAAGCATCCAGCTCTTAATTTCAGCTCAGGTCACGATCTCTCAGTTTGTGAGATCCAGCCCTGTGGCAGGCTCCACGGTGAGCCTGCTTGGGATTATCTCTCAAATATAAACAAACGTTAAAAAAAAAATAAATGCGTATATTTGAGATATTTTTAATCCAGTCAGATAACCTCTACAGATTAATAGGAATATTTACCTTATTTACATTTAATATAATTACTGATCTATTTGGATTTAAATCTACCATTTTAATAAGGTCTCCCTTTTTGTTCTGCCTGTTCTTTGTTGTGCATCTTCTTTTGGATTGCTTTATTATATTTACATTAATAAACTAATAGGCTAATGAGTTAATAGATTATATTATTAATATGAATAATAACATTAGTGTTATTATATTCTATTATGCTAGTTTTTTCCCTCTATTTGGAAACTATACCCTTGTTTACTATTCTTTTAGTAACTAACCTTGAAGTTCCAATGCTACTACTTGACTTAATGAATACTGCTATTATTTGGGACTTTTACCTTTTACTTTTCTTGGGGGGGGGGTTACCTCTACGCCCAACATGGGGCTTGAACTCTTGACCCCCTGAGATCAAGAGTTTCATGCTCTACAGACTGAGCCAGCAAGGGGCCCCAGCACTCTTACCTTTTTTCCAAAAAAAATTTTTAAATTCTATTCCTTTATCACTCCGGTTGTGACCCCCTCAACTTATGTGCTTTTTCTTTTTTCAATTCTCTTGGACATATTCCTAACAGTGGAATTGCTAGGTCATATGGTAACTCTAGGTTAAACATTTTGAGCTACCAAACTGTTTTTCAAAGCAGCTGTACTTTTTTTACAATCCCAACAGCAGTGTATGGGGGCTCCAATTTCTCCACATCCTTACCAACACTTGCTGTTGTCTCTGTTTTAGTCCATTTGTCCTCGCAGGTGTGAAGTGGTATTTCATTGTGGGCTTGATGAGCATTTTCCTAATGACCTTGTTGAACATCCTTTCATGTGATTACTGGCCATTTCTATACCATCTCTGGAGAAATGTCCATTCAAATCCTTTGCCCTTTTTGAAATTGGCTTATGTGTCTTTTTATGGTTGCATTACAAGACTTATTTATATATTTTGGATATAAAGAAATTGGATTTGCTAATATTTCCTCCCCTTCTATGGGTTGCCTGTCCCCTTTCCTGTCTCCCTTGAAGCAATTTTATTTTGATGAACTTTTTTTTTGAAGAAATAAACGTTGCAGAGAGTTGAAGCTCCCGTCTATGACCCAATTTCGCTGCCTCCCTCTTCAGAGATTACTATTCTAAATGTGATCTTTTTAATTCCCCAATTTTGTTTTGTTTAATTATGCAAAATACCCATAAATGTTAACATCTTAACCACTGCAAGGTGTACGGATCAGTGGCACTAAGTATATTCACACAATTTGCCACCAACACCACATCCAGCTCTAGAGTTTTTTTTTTTCATCTTGCACAGTTGAAACTCTATCCCAATTAAACCCTAATCTTCCATTTTTCGCTCAGGCCCTGTAACCACCATTCTGCTCTCCATGAATGTTGTAAATACCTCCTATGAATAGAATCACAGTATTTGTCTTTGTGTGACTGGCTTATGTCAACTTAGCATAAGGTCTTCAAAGTTCATCCATGTTGTAGCAGGTGTCAGGATCTCCTTCCTTTTAAGGGTTGAATAACATTCCATTGTGTGTGTGTACATTACATGTACATCACATTTGCTAATCCATTCATCTATAAATGGACACTTGTTATAAATGTGTCTATTTGTCTATAGCCCAGTGGGCTAGATCTTCTATTGACCTCTACCCTCTGTATCATATTTTTGAATGGATTTCAATTATGTATGTTATTTAGAGGCACTCTGGCTATAGTAGGGGTAGGCAGACTTTGACCAGCACACCAAATTTGTCCCACTGCCTGTTATATATATACAATTCCATTGGAACACAGCCACATTCATTCATTTATCTATTGTCTATGGCTGCTTTCATGCTACAACAGCAGAGTTGAGGGACTGGGGCAAAAACCATATGGCAAAACCTAAAATATTTACTATCTGGCCCCTTAAGTAAGTCTGCTGTTTCCAAGGCAATAGTAACAAATAGATTCCAAAATGTGTAACAGCTCAAACACCAGCTTCTCTTCCACAGCATAGTCCAAAGCCAGCAGTTTTCTCCATGTTTGATTCATGTACACAGGATGCTTCCACTGCACGGCTCTGCAATCCCCAAGGGCCTCCATGTCTTTGCCTTGAGCTAGTAGAAGGGGATCAAGAACCTGGAGGGGACCCCCGTACTCCTTTAGCCTCGGTCCAGGAACGGAACTCATTTCTCACTCATGATTCATCAGCAAGAACTAGGTGCCTGACAATATCTCAAAGTAAAGAACGGCACATTCATGCCTCCTCCCAGTGACACAAGCTACAAATTTCAGTGGGAGGCCAGCTGTCTCAGCCATGCCAACACCCAGCAAGTGAAGAATCAGAATGAGCAAGAAAGCAGGCCGATATGGCTTGATTTCAGGAGATGGGCTTTTTCTGCCTGGAGAGGGCCAGATGGAATATTATAGAAAGCCAGAATGAAGAGCAGGCCTTTCAAAGATTCAGATAAAACTAGGTATCATCAAGCAGTTGCTAAAAGGAGAGAGAGAGAGAGAGAGAGAGCCCTTCCTTGGGATATGGTTAGACCAGCTCATGGACTCTTAACCTGGATCAAGAATTGAGTGTTGGGGGCGCCTGGGTGGCTTAGTCAGTTGAGCGCCCGACTTTTGCTCAGATCATGATCTCGTGGTTTTTTAGTTCGAGACCCACATCAGGCTCTCTGCTGACAGTGCAAAGCCCACTTTGCATCCTCTGTCTCCCTCTCTCTCTGCCCCTCATTCGCTCACACACACTCTCTCTCTCCCACTCTCTCAAAAATAAATATTAAAAAAAAAAAGAATTGAGTGTTGGTGGTCTAATGACACCCCAATACAGTCTGAAAGTTTACACAGGTAAATAGGTTTCTTCTTGAGCTTTCTGAAGGCTCCAAGAATTCTCTGACCCCCCTCCAAAAAGTTACAAACAAAACTAAGTGTGGTCTAAAATTCCTTCCACATCCTGGAAGCTGCTGAGTGGGGGCATAAGCAATCCATCACCATAAGTTTGTTATTTGGAAAAACTGACCACATCTTAGGCCATTTTGGTTTTTGCTTTTCTATTTTGTTAGTTATAAAGTCAGGTTTCCCCACCCAAACCCAGAAATCAGTGGTAGAAAAATAACAAAGGAAAAACCCCTAAGCCATCTCATAAAAACCTGAGCACAGGCTGAGCGTGTGCCAGGGGCGGGGGCAATGGACAGATGACGGTCCATCGAGGGTTAAGGTGGAGGTATCCGGGGCATGGAAGTGGTCATCTGCTCTACCTGCTGACCTTCCCTGGGTCTTCGCCAGCAGGATCACGGCACGCCAACCTTCAATACAAGAGCTGGTAAACGGTGGCACTGTTCTTGGAGCCTGTGACCAGATACTGGTTGTCAGAGGACACATCACAACACAGGATATCTGTAGACTCCTCTGCCTACAAGGAAAGAGAAGCCAAGAGTGACTACAGGCAGGGGCCAGGCTCGGGCCAGAGATGAAGGCCTCACTTAGGGCTGTGTCAAGGCTAAGGACAGACCTGAGCCTCAGTCTGGAGACAACAGGGCAGGTCTCGTGGTTCAAGGTGAAGCCCATGAGTTCACTGGACCTTGGGTCCTCATTCCCCTTGATGTATTAAATGGCCCAGATACCACCCCGGAGGTACTTTCCAGCACTGTCCTTGGGACCTGACATAATGGATCTGAGGCTATGAGCTCTGAGTGCCTGGGTGTGCCCATCCCTCCTCCCAATACCTGAAACAACCTTTGTAGAGAAGGTGCGGCTAAGCAATGGATCGATTCATCCAGCGTGGTCACAAAATAGCTCCCTGGCAAAGGAAAGGCAGATGGAGAGGCCAGACACCAAGCTTGCATTCCAATCCCAGCCTCATTCCCAAGGGGACTAGGGAAAGGGCAACTCCTTCTCTGCCTCAGTTTCCCCATCTATAAAAATCAGAGATAAGACCCAAGCCATTCCTTCATCTGGTCCTACCCTCCTGCTACACGTGGGATCATGGTCAGTATCACTGAACAAAAAAAAGGACAATCAGATGGGATTTCAAGTCTCTTCTGCCTGCCTGTGTCTTCAGGCTGCTGTTCTGTGTAGGAAGGCACCATTACAGAGAGAGCCAGAAAGGAGAGGGAGGGGGACAGAAGACAAACGGGGTGCCAGACCACAGCAGGAGAGGAAGCGGTGGGGAAGGGTAGGTGGGTGCAGAGGCAAGAGCAGCAGGCAGGAGAGTCGACACCTGGGTCTTGGCTTGGCTGCGCTTGGGGCTGGAGGGTGAGGAACAGACCCTGCAACAAGGCTGGGCCCAGATTCTGCAGATAGGTAGACACCCCATGGTGTGACAGGGCCCCTAGAGGTGTCACCTGGCTTCAACTCACCACAGGAGGAAAACTTGAGGTTGTGGCGGTGGATGTATTTGTTAAAGAAAATCTTCAACTTCTCCCTCCGGTGCGTGTGTAGGATTATGATGTCACTGTTTCTCAAGCCTACTAGCACCCACTCTTCACTGGGGTCATGGGTAATGCTGAGGATCTATTTGGGAAAAAAACTGGAGTCAGGGGTGCCTGGGTAGCTCAGTTGGTTAAGTGTCCAACTTCAGCTCAGGTCATGATCTCCCAGTTCATGGATTCAGGCCCCGTGTTGGGCTCTGTGCTGACAGCTCAGAGCCTGGAGCCTGCTTCAGATTCTGTGTCTCCCTCTCTCTCTGTGTGCCTCCCATGCTTCTGCTAGCGCTCACTCTCTCTCTCTCAAAAATAAATGTTAAGAAAAAATTTTTTAATTAAAAAAAAAAAGAAAAGAAAAAGGACTAGAGTCAGTGCTCCAAGCTGCCAACACCATCATTTGTGTCTCCTCTTGAAACCCGGCTCTTCCTCCTGCAGGACCCCCAGCTCCCAGCCACCATGACTGCCCTCAGCCCTGGCACCTCATGCCGGAAATGGTGCTCCTGCACCCTCTGGTAGTTCCTCAGATCCCAGGAATACAGGCTGGCGTCTTCACCTCCTGTCCAGAACTTATTGCCTGCGATGTCCACGCATCGGGATCCATATTCAGGGACTTCGTGCTTCCTGGAGGGAAAACAACTCATAGAGATTCACGCACTGGTTAAACACTGGGAAGTTCTGGGCCCAGGAAGCCCCCAGGAGTGCCCCCCCCACCATATCTTCTCCTCACAGACTCCCCTGATCCTACCGCACAGAGCGGGGAAGCGCTGTCCAGAAAGGGACACAGGCTTTCCCAAACACCTTACTGTCAAGCCCTCCCCTAGGTCATACCTGATCAAGATTTGGTTCTGCAAGTCCCAAATCTCAACAAATCCTTTGAAACAAGCCAAGCAGATCTGGGCATTGGAGGAGAGAGCCAGGGAATAGCACATGGGGCCTGTGGAGGCCAGCTGTGCCCTGACGCGAGGCGTGGGTGCCAGATCCCAAAGAGTCAGGTTCCGGGACAGACCCCCAGTGATCAGGCTCTGCTCATCAGGCAGCAGCTTGCAGGCGAGGACACGGCTCTGATGGTCCTGCAGGGACAGTTCCCACCCTCACATCACCACCTTAAGGCATGGGGTCAGAGTCTCACGCCAGAGATCATACCCGGGCTCCCCAAGCCTATCCCAAACATCCCTCACCTGGAAGTCCAGCTGGGCCTGTGGGGCCTTGTTGCAGGCATGCAGAGCGCTCTCGTCCCACACCTTAATGTAGCCATGCCCACACGTGTACACGTGGTGAGTCGAGCCGCTGATGGCAATGGCGTAGACCTTCTTTCCATGGCGGACATTGCCAACCTTCCAGGACTCCCGTGGGGCTCTCTGCCTGACCACCACTTCATCAGGAATGGGAGGCTAGGGACAGGAGAAGGTAGGCGGCCATCAAAGGGCATAGCCCCAGCCTACTGTCATCCACAGCCTGCCGGTCCGCTGACTGAATTCCTAACTGTTCACCCAACAGCCCTCTCTGACCCGGGGCGAAACCATGTTCTTATCTGGGGACCCCAGACCATAGACATCCTCCTGCACTAGCCACATGGTGCCCAGGCTTCCCTCCTTGACACACAGAGCCACATTTTGAGACAATTCTGTGCACCAGCAGGAAGAGCAGGACCCGGCACAGCCCCCTGAGGACACAGCTTTCGAAGAGGTGACACTGTGAGCTGAGGGCCCTACATCTTGGTGACGAGGGCAGGGTAGCCTAGCTCAGAAGTAGGGAGCTGCAGGACCACCCCACCACCACCACCGCCGCCGCCTAAGGGAGAGAGAATGAGGACACACTGCGTGCCCTCACCTTCTTCTTACTAGCTTCTTATTTGGGGCAGGGCAGGGGAAGGCAAAGATCCCAAGTTTGGAAAAATAACACACTTACAATTGCCCTGAGGAATGACCAGACTTCTTCACTGGGAGGTGGCGAGGGGCAAGGCTGGCCTGCAGGGAAATATCAACACCCACCCGCTCACAGAGAGGGGCAACGGATAGCAACAGAACCGCAGGATTCAAGGAGAGGGCCGCTGTCCTGACACCAGGCCTGAGTCTTGTCCCCCACCTTCCCTGCCCACGCATCCCACCTGGGACTTACCACACTCGGGTCCTGGCAGGAAGCTATGACACATAGAGAGCAGAGAGGGGACAGCGCATGAAATGCAGGGCTCTGTGCTGGGATCCCCTCTCCCACCACCAGTCTTGTTCAAGGGGAGACCTACCTGCGATCCAGTTCTGCTGCTGCTTCTGGCTCCGCCTCAGAAAGCCAGCTGGCCTGGAGCTCAGATCTGTCCAGAGGCTGGAGGACCCACTGTTGTGGGGTCCCAGAGCTCGTCTCCTGATAAACCGGGCCATGCGATGTCTGGGGAGCCGGGGGCTGCTGAGGCATCCCATACTCCCCCTCTGCTTGCGATTGTGCTTGGTGCTCATGCTGGGAGGAGATGCCAGAGCTTTCTAGCACGTTCCTCCACTCCTCTGGTTCATCATAAATTCTGAGTGTACTAAACGAGGCCCCCTCCTTCTCTCTATTCATGTTCTTAGATCAATCAAGTGTCTGAGCCACCCGGTTTTGGGCTTGAGAACTGAGTCCATCAAACAGCTCCCGGGGTTACCAGTTCGTCCTGATCCCCTGTAGCAAGAGAGAACAGATGCAGAGACACAGATGTGCAGCACTCAGGGCCTGTTTAGGAGGCTCTGAGAACACCTCTCATGGTGAGAGGATTCAAAAGACGGGTGGCCGACTAATGTTTTACCCTAAATGCTGGCAGTGATGGTGTCAAAGGTGAACGTTTCTCACAGACACTTTGAGATGTTAGTAGCAGGTGTTGGGTTTTTCCTAGACCCATCTAGAAAGATGGCATTTCCAGTCCTTTTAAATCCGAGTCACCCTTTAATCTGGCAATATACCTTTCAGATGAGGACTCACCCCCAATGTAAACATGGGGTAAGGGGAAACTCCACTCATGCCACAGGCGCTTTCCCTGCCTTCAGGGGATCCCCGAAGGCAGTATGCAGACATGATGTTCCATTTGGATGGAGCAAGGTCACACAACCACAGAGTTTGCTGGTGGGGACATTCATCTATCCCACCCTATATGGTCATTCTGAGAACTAAATGGAATCCCGTGTAGAATACTCAGAATTATGCAAGGCTACTGGCAGACCTTCCTTAAATGGCAGTGAGTGCATTTATCTGCGGACTGTGCCAGGGACCAGACCTTTGAGGATTTAAAACAGACCATCTGCCTTCCCCCAGGCCACCCAACAGCAAGCCCTTGGACGGGCCTGGGGAGACCCAGCGTTCCAGAATACAGCAGAGCAAAAGCTCAGCCAAAAAATGAGAGGTGGTCTGGGGAGGGGGTCTTCCCCTGTCTATGGAGACCATGCCTGGACGACCAAGCTCAGTCCTTGGTTCTCAGAACCCACCCTCCGCAAATGCCCCATGGTCACCCCAGAGAGGCCGGGTTGCCTGCCTTTGGGAAGATGTAGTTGTATCGCCAGACTCCACTCCTCTGAACACTTTGAGCTCTTACTATGTGTTTAGCCTTGAACCAAACACACTCCTCACAACCGTGTGAGCCACATTTCACAGATTTTAAAAACCGAAGCTCAACTTTGGTTATTTAACCAGAAAGCACAGGGAAAAGGATCAAATCCCGCCCTGTCTGGCTCTAAACAGTCTCCTTTCCTGACTCTCCACGAGGAGAAGGAAGACAAATATCCACTGTCTTTACAAAAGTGGTTACCTGGGGAACCTGAGTGGCTCAGTGGATTAAGGGTCCGACTTAGGCTCAGGTCATGATCTCGTGGTTCATGGGGTTAAGGCCCGCATCACTCTCTGTGCTAACAGCATGGAGCCTGCTTCAGATTCTGTGTCTCCCTCTCTCTCTGCCCCACCCCCATTCCCTCGCGCGCGCGCGCGCTCTCTCTCTCTCTAAAATAAATTTAAAAAAATTAAAAAAACAAATGTGGTTACTCTCCTACCTAACACTGCCACTTTTAGGGATTTAGCCTGAAGGTGCACTTAAATATACACAAAAAGGACACCTGTACAAGCAGAAGCACCACAGCACTGTTTGTGACAGCAGATGACTGGAAAAATCCAATGGCCACAGGAAGGGACTGGTGAAATGTCACAGTATATGCATTCTGCGGAATACCACACAACTGTTAAATGTAATAAGGACACATCTTTAAGGACTGGAGAAAAATCCAAGGTGTGTTAAGGAGGGGAGGGGTGGATCTAAGGTTCAGACAAATGTGCATAATAGCAGCTTTGGTGGAAAAGAAGGATGGAAATTAGAACCTATCTTTGCATATGTTTGTATGCACAGAAGAAATCAGGAAAAGCAGTCGTCTTTGGGAATGCAAATTGACCCAAAGGAAAGAAGAATGGAAGATTTGGCCACCGTAGAACCTGGGATGGTTTTTGCATCTGTGTGGCTCCTGGAATCTAAATGTAAAATAGTTAGACCTTGAATCTTTTCCTTGACCAAATCCATCTTTCTCACCTTCCCCCAAATGATAATTTGGGGTCCTTGTGATGCTCGGTTACTTGTTTAAATAAATTAACCAATTCATCCTGACGCCTTCAGCCTGCATTAAATGGGCCACGAGGGCTGGCTCACCCTGCTGAGGGTGGAGGCCCAGAGTACCCACATTCCCAGCCAGCGTGACAAGGATGAGCAAGCGGGGACTGGCAGCGAGCTGCCCTTGGGTAAAGCTTAAAGGCAGTGAGGCCATTTAGCCAGTATTTCACAGATGAAGAAGATTTCACCCTAAGAGTAAGACAAGGCTTTCTAGAAAGAGCAGAAGGAAGAGTCACTATCACTGAACCCCGCTCTGCTCTATCCCCAGAGCTGCAAATGTAGAGACCCCACCCCTTACCAAGCAACTCCTACCCCAGGTTCCACACAAAACGCTAGTGCTGGGGCTCCATCCTGCCCACAAGGCAAGCACTCACCAATCCCCATGGCTGGAAACTCACCCTGGAAGGCAGAAAGCCAAACCCCAGAGAAGGGAAGGCAGCAGCAGAACGGAGACCTCACTGGTGCTGAAACCCTTCCTCTCACACCCAGGCACAGCCCCCTCCGTGAACTGCTGCTATTTTTAAACCTTAGCTTAATTGATAATCAAGCCCTGGGTCAGAACCTGGGTCAGGTGTCCTGGCCCTGAATGGTACCTGAATGGTTCCTCAATTCCCGGGTGGGCGTGGCCACAACCTGCCATTTCCAATTAGACCCTGTGTCCTTGGAAGAGAGATAAGATGGAGGTCTGCCAAGTAAGGTCAAGGCAGGAGGCAAGATGGAGCCAGAAACTTTTGTGGGGGAAGTCTCTGGATCGGGTTCGGGCCGCCCACTAGAGCCAGCATTTGCACAGAGGCCGAGAACTGGGTAGAGCTGTCCCCAAGAGCTGGTTTAGATTCATGTCTTCTGGTGAATCTCTTTGGGATTGAAGGCTGGTTTGGGGCTGAGGCCAATATGGGCTTTGATGGGAGGAGAAGGGGGCCACTAGAAGGGAAGACCAGGGAAGCCTTTCTTTTCAGGCACCCCTCATCCAGTGGTTCTTAAATATGACACCCGGAGTGCAGCCCCCACCCCCACCCCCTTGCCACAGAGACTCAGATTCTGTAGGTGTGGGGTGGGGACTGAGACTGCCTTTCTAACAGGTTCCTGGGTGCCACATTTGAGAACCACTGCCAGCCCCTCAGTCTGGTGGTCCCCTCCTGCAGGAGAGAATGGCGGTGAAGCTGGATCCCCTCCTGCTCTCCCCCCGCCCCCCCAACCTCTTGCTCACCCTTCCAATTGAACACACTCTCTTCCACTCTGGTTCCTTTCTCATTTGCTGGCTTCCTTCTTTTGAAGCAGCAGTCCTGAAATGGCTGCTGTCCACAAAGAAATCTTTTGACCCCCTAATCTCCAAAACCCACTGTCTCTCCCTTTCTCTCTCCCCCTAACACACCCCTCATCCCCAAAAATTTTATTACTGCCTGTGGTCTCCCAGATAATGCCTGGCATTATCCTTGGCCCAGTATTTGAGATCTGTCCCCATCCAGGCTCAGCCTGTTCTCGCTTTTTCCCTGACTGCACCCTAACCTGACCCCAAAAGAACTTGACTGCACCTTTCCATCCTCATACTTCCCTATGCTGTTCCTTCATCCAAGAATGTTGTTCCTTGTCCACTCATGCGTCAAATTTACACTCCCATGTACTCTGAGCATGGTGCCAAGGACCAGTGATCAAGCTAAGACATGGCCCAAGTCCTTAGGGAGCTCTGATTTGAGAGGACAGGACAGAGGGTGGTTGATGTAATTCCCGAGCTGACGCATGACCATTTTGGGGGAGTTATCCCTTTTTTGACGAGTTATCCCTTTTTTGATTCTCACAGGAAACACACAGCAGTGAGGCATGGATTTTATTGCTAGTTTGGAAATATGAGATTTAATTCGGGGGGTCAGAACATCACAGAGACTTATCCAGGGTCTCACTGAACAGGTGGGAGAGCAAGGGTCCAAAGCCAGGCCTATCTGATTTTTAAAAATATGCTTGAGAGAGAGCTGTACTGAATCATAGGAGCTCTTTCTATACTCTGCGTATGAATCCTTTGGCAGAACATGTGCACTGCCTGTGTCTCTTGCCAACCTGTGGCTGGCCTTTTAGCTCTTAATGGTGTCTGTAGATGAATGGAAGTTCTTAATTTTAATTCAGTCCAGTTTATCTATTCTTTTAAGGTTTTTTTTTTTTTGTCTTATTTAGGAAATATTTTCTGCCTTCAATACCATGATAATACTCTCCATTGTTTTATTCTAGAAGCTTCTCTATTTTACCCTCTACATGTAAATCTACAAAACTTGGCAATATCTAGAAAGGGAACACAGAGGGTCCAGAGAAGCCTGGGCCTCTCTTGAAGGGGGAAGCAGCAAGCAAATGGTGAGGAGCCCAACCCTTCCATCAAACTCCTGATTTGAAGCCCAGGCCTGCCACTTCTCGGTTGCCAGCCTGTGCCTCAGCTTTCACATCTGTAAAATGGAGATGACAAGATTACATCCTTCTTAAAGCTGAGATCAGACCTGGAGGTTTAAGAGGGCTTTGAAGAGGCCAGGTTTCATGTAAATGCTCACTGAGGGTGAGCAATTCTTAGGGCCTACCAAAGAGGAAAGAAAAAGAGAGGCGAGAGAGGCCAGTGGGAAGTCCCCTGTGCAGTGAGGCAGCCCACAGAGGAGAGAGTTGCCAGCAGAGGCATAGGGTCTGGATCCTAATAGGCTGCATTGCTGGGCACTGGGCATGCTTCTCTGTGTCATCACTGCCCCCTCTCGGCTGCCCCAGGAGGGAAGTCACATGTAAGGAAAATGAGGTTCAAAGAGTTTAAGTACCTTGCTCAAGATCACACAGCAAGGAAGGGCTGGAGTGAGGGTTTGAGGCCAGGTTCAC